TGAAAATGCCTTGTTAATGTCAGATGTCAGAGGAAAGTGTTGTAACTGCTGTGAGCTGAGAGGGAGGCAACAATAACTCAAATAACCCTTTGTTACAGCCAAAGTATGCAGAAGAGCATATCTGAATAGCAGAAGACCACACTGGGTGCCACAGCTGTCAGTTAAAAACAAATAACTGAGGCTACAGTTAACACTGACATTAAAATCGGACAACAGAAGATTGGGAAACTTTTGTCTCTGTTTCTGCTGCAATATTTAGATGGAGTACAGCGACAGATTGGTGACCTGTCCAGGGTGTACCCTGCCCCTCACTCTATGATTGCTGGAATAGCCTCCTGCCACCTCTGAGGAATGTTTTCAGCCCCTCACTGAGTCTATTCCTCAAAGAATTAAGACAGTTCTGAGACCAAAAGGTGGTCCTACCAGGAGTTAGCAACATATAGCTATTGAACTGGCAAGTGAGCGTTTAAAAAGTTAGAGAAACTCAATATTTTATTTCCTTTCCAAACAAATACAATCTCTTCATCTCAAACTTAATATAGATTTTTTTCAGAGTAGGTAACAATAACTTGACTTAAATGGCCCCGCTGCTTTTGAAAGTCATGCATGGGTCACAAGTTTTAATAACTGTATCATGCCTGATGTTAAACAATGGGTCCATTTCTTTCCTTTCTAGAACAAGGCCCTAGTGTCAAAACTTGTGTGTGTGGTGATTTTGTATGCTCTTAAAGACTGCAGTAATTTTTTTTTTTTTTTTTTAGGCTTAAAGGTAACAAATAGATATATTTTTTTGACATGGAATGAATGTGTAGTCTTTATTTTTTCAACACAGGGTTTTCATTCTTACTTTGCAGTATCTGGGCTGTATAGAAGTCCTGATGTCGATGAGATCCCTGGATGTGTCACTACAAGGTACAATTTAAACAAGGTATTAGTTTCACACATTTATATTTCTCAAGGGACATATTGATCATTATTGACAATTAAATGGATTCTTTGCTTATGTAGAGAGTTTTCTAATTTGATAAAGAGTACTGTAAACAGGCTCAAGCACAAGCCACCATCACCACACAACACATCACACAAGCACAGCGATCACACATAGCATCCAGATCACTACAGCACACAATAGATGTTCACAATGACAGTCTCTCAAATATCTAATAACCTACTCTAAATGACATTTTAACCTATTAATATTTCTAATAAACACTGAAACACATCAGATGGCAACGGATTGTAGGGGAGATGTCAACCACATTCCTCCTTCATAATCGTTATTTACATCATTAGTCCTTTTCAGGGTCATTCTGGGTGCGCGCTGGGGCCTCATTCTGCCGAGCTGTGTGTCAAACATGTTCAATAATGTTCCATAGTAAAGACATTCGCCCATCGCCTCTGGCAACATAGTGGCAGGGGGCCTAATAGTAATGTAGTAATAACATTTATTTGAAAATAACTGTTACAAAAAACCCAAAACAAGATTTATATTCAAAAGAGATTTAGCTGTACTTGAAATAAAAATAAAATGCTGAAATACTACTGTCATGGTCGGAGTCTGAACTCCGTGTTTATGTTTAGTTTATTATATTCTGTGGTTTTGGTTACCTTGGGTGTTTGTACTCTTCTGTTTCATGGTTCATGTTCCTATGTTCTGTGTCCCCCAGTCTGTGTTAAGTTGGTGTGTTATGTCATTACGTGTATGTGTTTCCTGTTTTACTTTGAAGGTCCGTGTCTGTTCTCAGTGTGTTCAGTTTACTTTTCCCCTGTCTCGTCAGGTCGGATTACTCCCAGCTGTGCCCTCCTTTTGTGTCTCATCCCCTCGTTATCCTTCTGTGTATTTTAACCTCGTGTCTGCCTCTGTTAGTTGCTGGTTCGTCTGTTTTCCCCTCCGTATCGTTTTTCCCCGGCTCTGGTCTCCCTGCAGTCCTCTTCGGCACTAATCTCTAGGAGTCTGCTGAAAATTCTCCGAACCGGATTCCCGTTTCCCACTAGCGTGTATCTTCATGTTTTGTTCGGTAGTTAGGGGGTTATAGTTTCGAGTTAATGTTCGCCGGATAAGTTTCTGTTAAACCTCGAGGATTTTCTCACCAATACAATGAAGTATGCCAGAGCTTATCTTGTATGCTTATTCCACTAGGCTGGCCATCTGACAGAATGATACAGTACCTGAGGATTATAACTATAGAACAACTATTTTTATTCGTTACTTACTTTTTTATTATTGTTTAGATATGATAATGGCAGTTTGTATCATCACACGATATGGGCAGTCTCATGCCAGGAACATTCGAGGCACGCAATTCAGAATTTCATTACGATGCCAAGATAATCGCTATTTGTTAAGCTATACAAATTCCATATGCATCCTAATAGCATAGTGATCTTGTCTTAAAAAAAGCTAGATTATTAGCTAAATTGGAAAATATATAACATCAGGAATTGAATCCATAAAGTTTCCTTAAATAAACGTAGTACAGTAATACCGAAAGAACGAATAACTATCGATGCACATTGGCTGAAAACGAAATACAAACCATAGAAGTAAACATTTTATCCAACATGAAATCGTTTTACAGAGTTTCAGTCTACAGAGATTTATAGCAGCCAGGTTTTTCACATAGGCTAGGTGTATATGGAAATGCATTCTTCTCTTTCTAGTCACTATATTGTAGATTGTATTTACACAGTACATAGTGACACTCAACCTTTAAATAGCATATTTCACAATCCATTTTATGTATCCTTCTAATTGAATTACTTTGTGTGTATGATATAGTTATCACCTAATAATCTATATAAGAATTAACCTATTCTAAAAAAGAAATATGCTAGTAACGCTATGCTATAGAATATACTAAGAACTGTGAAAGTCGAAGTGAAACATCTTTTCTAAACGAACTCGTAATTTAAAACAATAGAACAAGTAAGAAATATTTAGATCACTGAAGAGTTACATCTGTAGTTAACTAAAACTTCTCTATCTGTTGTAGATTACATACATATACTTAGTCATTATTTACTCCTTATGTTTTTTTTTATCTCAGTTTGTTTATAGAGAGCATACATAAGATCATAGACAATATGAATCACAAACATATTTCTTGTATATCATTTACTGTCTACGTCATTAATAAAAAAGATACTTCGGCTGTAGTACTTAGATCTTGCTGTAGTTGCTTGTGGCACAATGTATTACATCCTATCTAAACTTCTCTCTACTAATGATGCAGTTTGATTTAAGTGTGCGTTGTCTATTAAACAACCAAGTTTGTCGTATTAAAAACAATATTATGCTACAACAAAATCTGTATTTCAAATCCCTTCTACCATCGTCCTTTACAGCCTGCGATGCACTAATAGAAAACTTGGCAGTAAGAAAATGGTACATTTAAAAATGTAATCCACTTTAAGGTTATGATATTGAGACTTTACGAACGTTAGCATATATAGTGATGCACTCATAATTTGTTATGCATGGAATTTTCTGCCTCTGAAATCTTTGACCGATGTGCAGTGAGGCAAAGGGCGGCGGGCGAATCGGTTCGTGTCATGTCTACTTTTCTGCTTGACTTCCTGAAGTTGGTAACATTAGCTAACACACAGTAGCAGGCTTTCTCTCCTTCTCTCTGCCACTGTGTGTTTGTGTGCTTATGTTTCTCTCTAATATGGAGAGGCATGGCAAAAAAAGACATACAGAGAGAGACGTGTTCAGATTTCCCTTCAATGCATTTCAAGAGTATTTGTAATATATCCTATTGTGCAAAACAAAACACTGCAATGCTGGGTTTTGTTTTGTTTGTTTGTTTGTTTGTTTGTTTGTTTTATTTAAATCTCTATGAGCCAAAGTCATTTTATCAAAATGTAATTATCTGTAGTTTTTTGGTCAAACTTTCAAAAACTGAGTGAGGAGCATCAGTATCAGTAACTTCCAAAACAAAGCTCACGCTCATGCTAGCAGTTCTGTTCACCTTATATTTATTATATTTATCATTTTGACTTAGCACGTTAGCATGCTAACAAATTAAAACGAAGCACAAAGCATAGTTGAGGCTCTCAGTTTATGTTTCCATTTTAAAACATTTTAGCATAGAACAAAGTAGTGGACTAATTAAAATGTTGATGGTACTACATGAAAGGGACTTTGGGTTTGTATCCTTGGGGCATTATGAAAGTTAGGGGAACTCAAACATGTGAACCTCATGTTGGTCTTAGAAGAAAGAATTTATTTATTATATATATATATATATATATATATATATAATATATTTTTTTTTTTTTTAAATTATGATAGCTTACTGTTTTCATTATTAACAATTTGCCTTTCAAAACAGTTTGTACAGAGATAGAAAGGAACTAATGGAAACGGAAGCATATGACCTGCAGCAAAGGTCCCCCTGAAAATCAAACAATGATCGTGCCATGCAGGCATGCCATCTGTGCCTTAGCCATAAGCATCATGGGATGCCCATCCCAATCATAAACCAAGCTGGTTGCACAGCTTTTCGGATGACGGGGTTGGTTGAAAGATTTGGAAGAGCTGTCATTAAACTTTATGCACACATTCAGGTTCCCAGAGGATGAATCATGCCAACTTTGTTGATGTGTCACCTACTGCTCCCGGGAGGTTCAAATTTTCAGTGCACTGCCACAAGGTTGATGTTGTGGTTTTGGAAACTAGAAAAACTATTTTGTAGATCTGAATAAAAAAAC